AATTTAATGAGAGTTTGTTTATCTGGATAGACTAATGGAAGTTAAATGATGAATACCTTGCTTTGTGGAATATACAAATTGTTTTTCTATTTTACGCTTTGATTACTAGGGACTAGTAATAAGCTGGTTGGGGGGTGTGATTAGTACTTAAAAGTGCATTTTTATCATGGTTTTATATCATCATTTTGCACTTGAAGTATCAATAACTCCTTAACTAAAATATGTTTTATAATAATGTATCTAATAATATAAGATACCTTTAATTTGTGGTAAATGTCTATTTTTAATGCAGGTCTATCACATAAATGAAAGGATTGATTGATGACTTGAAGAACTTAAATTGCATGGATAAAGAGATGGTCAAACTTAGAGAAGAGATGTCGGTGCAATCCAAACCGGAACACTGTTCGGTAATTGGGTCATATCTAGAGCTATATATCTCAGATTTAGGTCCAATTTATATGGATGGAAAGGTAAGACATAGGCCTACAACTTTCATATGGAGCCCAAGATCTAAAAAGGCCATTATCAAGTCCAAATTGTAGAAACAACAAAGAAGCCCGAATCTGTCTTCCAGCCCGAGCACTGTTCGGTATTTTGGCCATATCTGGAGTTCTAGAAGTCCAAATGAGCTGAATTTTTTACACAAGAAAGCTGAGACAATTGCCTACAACTTTCATGTTTGCACCTGGCTCCAGTTTTGACGTTATCAATGACGTTTTGGGCAGACAAGAGAAGATAAGGATTGTCACCAAGTCAAAAGTTGGCCACCCACTTATCAATTAGTCATCAAATCAATAGTTCTCAATTTTGGCCTATAAAAGGAGGCATTTGCCATGCATTTAGGCATCTTGGTTTCCAGATCAAGATCATTCTCTTCCTTTCTCTCTTTGTATTTTTTATGCTTTGTTTTCATTAATATTAAGTTTATGCCTTTCATTTCCTTTCCTTTACTTAGTTAACTTTTATGTTCTTATTTTGTTTATCTATTTTGCTTTCTTTCATTATGTCTAGCTAAGTTAGTTATGTCAAGGTGAAAAGGTTACACTAATGGTGTAAGAATAAGTATAGTGTAAACTTAATATGGACTTTAATGTTTGATACTAACATGTTTTATATTTGTTATCTTGTTCACTCTTTAATACTTTGCTTGTTAAATGATTAATCTTGATTTATGTTGTATAACACTTGGTACAACAAATGCTTGGCACTTTCATAGCCCATAATGTATGGTATAACCGACACCTGAGCTATGAAAGGAACTTGATTTGTTGTTAACATAAGTTATAATCATGAATGTTTGACGAGATTTACAAGTATTAGCATTAATTGAATAAGATGACTAATGTAATCATGTTAACAATATATAATCTGATTGGAACCTCCTTTGTGTGTGGTTTCCAATTCAATAATAAGAGTTTATACTATACTTGTTTGATATACCATTAGTGGAACCTCTAACCTTGACATTTGTTATTATTATTGTTTAATCCTTACATTAATATTTCATCTCTAAGTTCTCATCATCATCATCTTCTTCTTCTTCTCTTTCTTTATTATTATTAGTATTACTACTACTACTACTACTATTATTATTATTATTATTATTATAGTTATTGTTGTTATTGCTATTATTGTTGTTTATAATTTGTACAATTAACCTCCCTATGGTTTGACCCCGGTCTTGCCGGGTTATTTATTACTTCGACACTCCTGCACTTGGGAGAAGACATCAATCTTTTAGTCGTGTCAGAGAACATCAAGCAATAAGGAATGAAACCTTTGAGGTTCATTATAAATGTCCTAAAAATGCTATGAGATTGATGACATTTTAGATATTCTTTTACCTAACACTGAAACTGGGAGTGACCTTACTTGGACCCACCCGCCTTCTCTACATAGATGTGATTTTTCATTGCCTATTTAACTTTGAGAAAATTTAAACCAAGGAGAGTTTATAGTTATTATTATAGAGTATAGTTGTAGACCCTACTAATTAGGGCCTTAGTTAGAAACAAGTATGAGAAGACCTTTCACATTAAATTTTTATCCTTTTTAAACCTTTCTAGATATGATCTAATGCTCCCATCTTCTTGTTGTGTGACGATGAAGAGCTCAATTATGGTTTTTTAACTAGTATATGTATACTGAACTAAGATATAAGTTTAGTGTGTAGATTATGAGAGTCAAAGATTAAGTCAAGCTTTAAGCTATGGTATCACGCTTAAATAGACTCGTATAATATTGTTAAAAAGATTTTACATATAGCATCTTTTCTTGTAGTACAAGCTCGAAACTACTTTATATATTTTTATATGCTTCACTGGGTTTGCAATTTTATCATAGTTGTCTAAGTTTGTCCTTCTAAATATATAATCCTTAGAGAAATAGGTCTTTAATACTTAATTGCAAAGTGGGGAATCTTTTACTTGGTAAAGGTGATATTAATTTTTGAAAGCTCGTTTCATATAGTTATTGATTCTTCTTACTTTAGGATCTGTTTTTTTTTAACGAGAAATACATAAGTAAGATTTAGAGAGGGATTGACCGTTTCTAGGACTTGTTGAAGCTTTACATTTAGATATTTAGAGTTCACAAATGAGGCGTTTAGTTTGAGAACACTTTTTGTCGCTAAAGTAGTTCCTATGTAGGGTTAGAGTATGAATATTCTTGTGCTTACTTTCCTATATATTTTTCTACTTTATTTCTTTAGAAAACTAGATTGTCTATGTGCACTAGGTTATGAATACAATAGACCTAGTTATTGTATCATTTTTAAAGGAAGTGACAAAGTTCAAAACTATTATTGTATGACTAGAATTACTTATGTGAGCATTTTTATTTGATAGACAATTTATTGGAGATTTGGAGGACCTGATACACTTATATTAGAAAACTCATTTACTCTCTCATGTCTAAGCATTTCTAAGTTGTCGAACATGAAAAGAATTGGGAAACAAAATGAAATAATCTGAATTTGTTCAAGTTCTCATAAATGGAACCATTAACAAATTCAAACAAATTTCAAATTGAACTCGAACTTTTCCATAACTAGTACAATGAGCTTTAGGGATTTTTTTTTTTTAATTTAGACTAATTTTATGGCTCATGATTTCCTGCAAAACATGTTTTCTATTGGTATAAAAAACCTTTCGATACACAAGTTAACAAATGCATATGAGGAAAATAATATACAACAAAGAGAATAAGAACATAGAATAATATATGTTGTGATTGTTACGTGAGTGTGTTTTTTTTTTTTTTTGTTCTGTATGTTGTTACATGGTGACCTTAGGTATTTATATACCTTAGGTCATATGAAATTTCCACATAGAAAATAAAGTCAAAAACATATGGTATAAGATTAATCATGGAAATAATTACCTTCACCATGTAAGTAAGATATAAAACAAGTTGTTCATGTAAGCGCTGCACTATTCAATTTATACTCTAACAATTATAAGACAAGGTAGGTGTTATACTAATAACTTATATTGCGCTCTCATTGATAACTTGTATTGTTTAATAAGGTAGGCATCCGTTCTAGTAATTTGTGCACCCACATTAATAACTTATGCAATATAGAATTAGATGGTAGTCACGTAACACTAGTAAACAGTTACATAACAAAAGCATGTGCGAGATAATATTTCCTTGCATGCTACCTGGTTGAGTTTAATTTAATGATCGAAATGACAAATCAGGGACTAAATGGGAATCTTCCTTTCATCTTGGCCAATTAAGCTAATTTGGAGATTGAATTAGAGAGTTATTGAATAATCAAGGTCCAAGTTTGAGAAAAAAAAATAGCTACGTTAATAAACACACCAACATGTGAATTAGACTCGTTGTCTTGTGACAACTTATGAGGCATCTCCAAGCACCAATGACAATTTTTTTTTATGATGTTTGATTTGTCTCAGTGAACTCTTTCTCGTGATTTAGTATTTTCCTGATTTAGTATGTATCGTTATCATAAACATGATGAAGCTTTAATGATTTGTCCTTCTCCTCTCATTTTCTCTCTCTCTTTTAAATTGTTATATTTCCTGTTTCTTTTCTCCCTAGCACAATCAACTCTTTTATTTTTTTTGCCTAAATAACTATTTGATTTTTTTTTAGGACTATTAAGCCTTTGGCCAAACTAGTTGACCAGGTGATAGATATATGATTTGCCTTTAGCCTAGTAGCTTGACCAAATAACTATTCGATCTATAGATTTCAAGTTTGCTTGATACAAATAAATTAGCAAATTTAATAATTGCCAAAAATAACTATTCTATGCAAGTTATAAAAACATTAATGTTTTGAGTATCAATACGATATTGAAAATTATTAGATTATTATTTTTTTAATTTAGTAAGATATTTTTTTGCTGTTTTATTTAGATTTATTGGGGTGTTGAAAGATTAATTTTTTTTTTAATATTTGATATGCTTTGAATGTGGATATTATGTATTATATAATAAAGTTAAGGAGGCATTATAGTTATTTTTTTTAATGGAAAATAGTTACAATTTTTCATACAAAATCCCTCTCAAAGGTCTCTCTGTCAGGGATTCAAGGTTTGCCAAATTGTGACCTTTCTGAGCAATATGAAACAAGTTTTTCGGAAATACATGTAAAACAAGGACTTTGCCTTCATTTTAGTACTCCCTATATTTTGCAAACTGCTATTCTCAATTTGTTAAAATCATTTCATCTTCTCTTTGAGTGACGAAACTTTCGCAAGTATCCTAAATAATAAAAAGAGTAAAGAGTAATAGGGTAGAACAGCTCATCATCTATTCCATTCCCGCAAATAAATATGCATTTTCTGCGTTAGTTTTTATCCTTCTCTGTTTTAGTTTAGTTTATCCATGCATAACTGTGCGACATTGCTTTTGTTCCCTTTCGTAAGCCTTAAGGAACAGAACCATCCCGAAGCTGCCGCAACTTTCAAGTCTCTCTGCTCTATTCCTATTTTCTACTGCCTTAATGCTGCAAGATGAGTGTGTGTGGGTGTGAGGTGATGAGCAACAACGAGAGAAGAAATAGTTTACAATTTTGTTTCTATTTCTCATTTAACTCACAGATTTGCTGTGATGGTGTGTCCGGAGAAGGAACATAACTAATACATTGAACATTGCAGGCCACTTCACCTGGGCCTCGTCCTAGGGCCTTTGATAGTTGTTCCTGCAAATCACTACCTTGGGTTTCCGTCTTCTTGTCTTCCTTTTTAGCAGCATGTTTGTTAGGGGAAAATTTTCTGTCAGACTCGACAAAGGGCATTCCATCAGAACAGAGCCCTACTTCAGGCGAAAGGTTAGTTACCATGGGTGGTGCTCGTCCTAGTCCTTCAGCACCATCATGAGTTTCCCTTTCACAGCTTGGTTCAGATTCTTGCAATTTCTGGCTTTCAACATGTTTGAGCTCTGCTGAGATACCAACTTCATCAAGGTAGTTACCTTGCCTTTCACTGCTAGGTTCAGATTCTTGCAAATTCTGGCTTTCACCATGTTTGAGCTCTGCTGAGATACCAACTTCATCAAGGTACCGGTTCTCATTGGATTGCTGCACCAACTCGGTGACATGATCCTCCATGGGGAAAATATCTACTTCAGTTAAAGGTGCTGCATCACCCAAGTCTGAATGACCAAAGAAAATCCATCGATTTCTCAGAAAATTGGAGATGGTCAACAGTAACCTGGGTTTCTTATGAAAAGGGAACGAGTACTCACCTGATTGTGTATCTGCTTCTTTTGTTTTGTACAACTGTTTTTTCAACAATATTGTTCCAGGGAACACCATGAAGTTTATCTTGTTCAGACTTTGCTTTTCATCTTTACTCACCGGTATGAAGCCAAAACCCTTAGTCCATGTCTCAACTAAATCTGGGATGGCGGATATAACAAGCTTTTCCACCTTGAAGGAAATTAGCATCTGGGACCACCATCATTGAGGTTAAAAGGAACGAAATGGAAATGTAGATCACAAATAGGCTTGTTATAAGAGAAATAAAAAACTCAGCATGCAGCAGACATGTGTGAACCATGACAACTTGAAAACCAACGCCAATAAAGGTGACAACACAAGCTACAGCATGTAATGTGAATAATCAGAATAGAAATGACGGTGATGAGCAAAACAACATAACAAAAAAGAACTCAAAAACAAGTCTTGAGAGCAATTGAAGTACTAAAAGGAACAATCTGAAATGACATTGGTCGGGGTCACAAGGATATGATGACCTAAAATTTGTAAAGAAGGGGACCAAAGATAAAGCAGAGTAGCAAACATGCAGGCAACCCATACAAGTTCAGTTATTAAAGCTTTGATGGTATTGAAATTGCTTTTCTAAAATCCAATTAAATACAGGAAAAAAAAATGCTGGATCAGTAATTAGGCATTGCCACCCAAAATATAGCCCCAAGTCCAAAAATACAGATACGTAATATCTTCTTTTTCATTTTCATTTTTAAAATTTCACAGATATATGATTGATACCTAAACATGGGTTTAGTTTGAAATATACCTCTTCAATAGCAGTCATAAGGTGTCGACACATCCCCTGCCGGCGGTAGTTACTGCAAGTTGCAATGAGGGGCATCTCTGCAACTGTTACTCCATGCACCCTGCAAAAAAAATGAGATTTTAGTTGCAATATAAAATTGCAGACAAGGCAAATGCAGGGCAAAGAACACAACTCTCAAGATCAGAAACGCTAGGAACATTTCTCATATATACTCCAAAAGCTGAACATATAATGACCATCCCATCCCAAAGTAGATTGTCAGAAAGAGTGATTCTGCAAAATCCTAGCATTTATCACCATTCAAGCACAACAAATAACTGCAAACACTGCACATCACTAAAGTTTCTAGCCATCCTTCCCTTAAACACAGGAAACAATTCGATATCAAATCCTCCGAGGTTTATGGCCAACACCACTTCCAAGCCCCAAATAAGGCACACATCATATTTCCATGTATTTCTTGGAACAAGGCAACAGAAAGAAAAAAGGGTGATCCAACACTGTGCTATTAAGATAGATGACATAGATCTGGAGACAATGTCTTATCCAGCCTTCACTGCACCTGAAACATATAGAGGATAATAGACCCAGAAAAAGTTTTCAACTAAGACAGAACCACCTTATTCTTCCAAATATGGTTTACCAAAGTGATATAAGACTGGTGGAATATGTAAGGTGGGTAAAACAAGATTTGCATCCCTCAGCATCCAGTTACTCTAAAAGGTTAAACCCTTAGATGGGGAGTTTTAAATACTATTTAATGCATAAATGACGCCAGACTGCCTAAGAAATAAACAAAATTGTGGGCCGTCTTGCATAGAAAAAGTGGAAAGGCAATTACAGTTTGAGAACAAAAGTAATAAGATTATGAGTACTTATGGAAAGAATAGCATGCAAAGAGGCGAAGGGAGAAAACATAAAGAGAGAAAAGCACAAAGAGAACAACTAAGAAATCATGTCATCCAAACAAACTAGATTAATTTCATTCAATAATCTAATCTTGATGTGCAGGAGCTAGAACTACAGTAGCTTTCATATAATTAGGGGTTTTCTTTTAGTAGTTTATTTGAGTAATATTTATGATGATAGTTTGGACAGCTAAGATTTAGTTATTTTTAAGGGTACTATAAAAAAACAATTCTGATGTTTTGATAATTTTATAAAGAGTTTGTTATCTTTTTTCTTTGGTTGTGTTAGCTATCTTTAGCTATCTTTTGCCTTTTCTTCCGATATCAGTTGGTATTGGGATGCTAAACCAACTCAAGCAAAAGGTGGTAACCATGCTTGAAATTAGAGTGGAAGCCATAAAGGAGACTTTGGAAGCTGACTACAACCTCTTATACATCCCAGAAGGTAGTTATAAGGGTCAAGGCTCTTTTCATGATGTTGAAGCCATAAACCATATGGTGTGAGGTGGATTGAAAGAAGGGAAAAACACTGTATTTCAATAGGGAGAGAGAGTTGAGGAGCAACAAGCACTATTTGTTGAGAAAAAAAAGAGCTATGGATCGGAGTTTTTTTGCCAATATATGATGATCAATGTGGATTGAGATTCTCCACCAATCTACGACGTTTATTGTGATGATGAACTTGATAAGGAGAACAATGACAACTATAGCAACAACAATCAAAAAATAGAAACTAAATGCAAAGATTGCATCATTGTAGTTGTTTCAGAAAAGGAATTCATCATCTTAAACCGTTGCATGCTTCATACAAATTCAAGAATAAGCTTCTATAGAGATCACAGTTTATGACAAGAATTGGGAGGGAATGAATTGCAAGTACAAGTTTGCAATCCTAACCATGAAATAAAACTACTATTAACTATATATGTATATGAAACGGAAAAAAGGTTGGCGATTTGTAATTGGACACCCTTAGGATTGAGGCAAGAATGGTTTCAACTCGAGGACAAGTTTCTTCCAACCCAAGGAGAATGATTCAGGAGTTAGAACTACAATAGCTTTCATATAATTAGGGTTTTTCTTTTGATAGGTTATTTACATAATAGTTTATGATGGTATTTTGGATAGCTAAGATTCAGTTATTTTTAAAAACAGGGGTTTATTTTACTTAGTTTTGCTAGTATTTAAAAGGTTGCTACTACTGTAAAAAAACAAATATGATATTTTGACAATATTATAAAGAGTTTGTTCTCTTGTTTCTAGTTGTTTAGCCTAAACAACCAGCCTTTGACGGTGTTGGTTATCGCTAGCTATCTTTTGCCTTTTCTTCCTACATCAAATCTCAACCATGCATCAAATCCCAAATTTAGAAACCTAAATGATAAAGATACCTCAAGGAATAAGAGTAATTACAGTTAACAATATTGAGAAGATTCGTATACTACTGAAAGTTTCAGGAGCCTATACAACTCTGCATCATAAATGATGTTTTTCTTTTCCTTCGCCCTCATTGAGACTTATAAGAGCTAGATGATGTCAAGGACAAATAAATGAAAACAGTTGTGTTAGGAAGATGCTGCATGCCTTTGGTGGGGAATCAAGAAAGTCAACGAAGGGAATTATTATTTGATTATTTAGGAATTTTAATATTGTATGATAATTGTAGATGTTTAGTATTTTTAGGTGTTAGCATTTTATATTTAGTGCTTAAAATAAAATTTTAATTTCCTTATGGAACTATAACTTATTAGCTTTTTCTATTTTATTAGCATCATATTCCTACAAGTTCCAAACCATTCTTTAACTTTGACCTTTGAAACTCATTATACTTTTAACTGTGGTCAAACTACAAGTTGCAAACCCTTTCTCCTACCATCCCAAAATCTAAGTGTCTCTAACTCAACCATCAGTTGATGGTAGACAGTTTAATCTGCCACACATCATGAAAGAAGCTTCATCACCAAAATACGGTTCATAAATGGAGATAAAACCTGTCTAACTGAAATCCTAGAAATATTTCAGCATCAAATATAAAATCACAGAATCAAAGGAAAATACTTGAAAGTAACATAATTCCTACAGGCATGATTCAAATTATAAAATGTTCAATATTCTGAGCAAATAATGCATATCACCTGACAGATGCTGCAGCTACAAGCACATCATCTTTCTCCAACACCATAGTGTAAAACCCAAAGAAATTTAGACGAGCAAAATCTGACCTGAATATCATACAAAAAAGAAAGCAAATAATAACAATAAAACATCAAGTGCAATTATATTTTCTCTAGGATAGGATTGAAAGAATTTGAAAAGACAAGCATCAAAGGTCAATTATAATCATCACTTCTAATCTCTAAATACAGTAAGCTAAATTACATAACTCCACCTATGATATCAACACTATGAATTAAGTGTCATAAGCTTTCTTATAGTTCCACTTGCTAATAGTCTTTTAGGATAGGTAACCTCTATCCTCACATTTCTAGATCTGTCATGGAAGGAGATCTGAAGCAAGTCAAGAACTGAAGCAAGGGAATGCTTATATAAGAAACTAGATGCATGAGACTGCTTTATATTTTAGATGATGATTAAGCCAGGATACTCTCCATCCATATAGGCTCACAACTCTTGTTCTATAACAACATAAATTTGTCAACATTTATGATGAAAAAACTTAAAAGTTGCAGTTTGTTGAAAGTGAGGCATGTCTAGCTCAATGCAATATAGACAATAAACCAAATCCTACATTGTCTAAACTCTGGCAAACCAGAAAACAAGATGAATGATATTTACATAAGATGCCTATCTTTTAACAGAAGAAATTTGAAAAGAAAAGGATTGCAAAACAACAAGGCACTCACCCCCAATTGTATAAAGCATGGGGTATCATGTCTATGCCTGTTCTTGGGTCTACCATAGATTGAAAGCATTCCTCCATAATGGTAAGAGCAACAGCTAATTTTGAGTTGCATTCTGCCTTGAGGGCAAGTCTTTGAGCAGAAAGAACCTTTTGATCTTCATGAATGCATCTGAGAAGAGTCCAACAAAAGCCATCAGCTATTGGGTTATTGATCCCAACACGAGAATGAAGACCACAGTACACCTGCAAACACCAGCAAACCAAGTCCTTAATTAGGAATCAATAAAAACAGACACCATGAAAGCTCATTCAACAGGCACTGTTGGTTTAAACACAAAATCTCACAAAAAAAAAAAGAAAAAAAGAAAGAGAAATCAGAAAAACTGGGAAGCAGGCATGGAGGATCATTTAGTTTCAATGTTGGAATAGCAAACTAGATCTGTTTTAAAGTTCTATTCTTCTGCAAATTAGATTCTTTTAAGCTTTTACTATTTTAAATTGATAGTTTTCTATTAGCTTTATCTAGCTTAGTTTGCTTTGCTTTATCAAGTTTGCTTGGCATTATAGTTATCCAAATATTTAGCTTGTTAACCCCCTGTAAATGGGACTGTGCAAGTTAGTTCACACCAACAGAGAAATAAATCATTGAGATTGTTTATGCAGAGGAATGTCGTTGCTTTTGTCTAAACTGACATCTGGTATCAGAGCTTGAAGAAATAATATTGAAGAGATGGCATCTAACCTGGTACAACTTCAGGTACATGTACTAGCAATAGAAAACTACGAAAAATCGTGCATTCAATTCAAGGCACTATTTAGCTCACAGGATCTGTGGGATATAGTTAGCAATGACTATACTGAACCCAGCCCTAATGAAGAAGTTGCATACACTCCATAACAGAAGAATACTCACAAGGATTAGGGGAAGAAAGATAAAAAGACTATCCCTTGTTTATATTTGAAAAGATCCCAGAAGCTGTCACAAGTAAAGAGTGTGGGACAAGCCAAGAATCATTTAGAAAGGAGTAGAACGAGAGAAGTCTGCACACATTAAAAGGAGTTTGAAACAGCACACGTGAAAGAAGGTGAAGCTGTGTTAGATTATCATTCCAAATTAAGTGGATTTGTTAATAAATTGAGTAAAAATGGAGAAAAAGTCAATGATACTTGAGTGTTTGGGAAAATGCTACAATCACCAACGCCTAGTTTTGAATAAGGTGACTGTAATAGAAGAGTTCAAAGACTTGGAAAGCATGAGCATGCAGGAGTTGTTGGGATCACTTCGAGTGCATGAATTGCGCATTTGATAAAATGACAATGTTAACAGCTATCAAAGCTTGTCCTTGAGAATATCAAAGGACAAAGAAGAGGACGTGGAGGCTTCACATACCATGGCCATGGAGGACATGGTGGCTCAATGCACACAAGGAATGCTTAGTACAATGAAGGAAAAATGAATGTTCAGTTGTAAGCAAGGCATTATGCCAATGAATGTCCCAACTTTATCAAGTCTATTTTAGGCGATAGGATCTTTTATTTTAGGCAATAGATGACTCAAATCTTTTGTAAATTTCCTGTGAGTTAGGAATGTGGGGCTTGTGCACCATTTATGGCACACTAATTTAGCATGTAGAATAATTGTTTCCTCGTACAAATAGATCACTTCCTATTTAAAGGAGGCTTGGCTGCATAAAAAAGACAGTTTTGAAACACAAAGACTTTGTTTTCTTAACATGTTATCAAAACATTGATGATCAAATGATTACGAATTTGAATTTCACCACCCTCATTCTAACTAATTAAATTAATAAAATTGCACAAAATAATGATCGGTTTGTGCAAGTTTCAAACCCAAAGAGCTTTTATTTAAAGGGGTGTGTTAAACAGTATTATAAAATCATACTTGGAGTCTTACCTAATAGATTAAGCTTTTGAGTTAAAATGGTTTTTGACATGATATCAAAGCCTAACCCCCTCTTCATATGTTGCCTTAGTCTTCCATCCATGCTTCACGTGGGAATGTTAGAATCCCACATTGAAAACAAAACACCAAAGTTAATACCCTTATAAGCTCTTGGCAAACCTCATCTCATAATGTGCCTTTTGAGATGAGTTAGGACTTTTGGCCATTCTAACTTCCTGTGGACTCGACACTTTAGTCTCCTCTGGGCTTCTGCTTGTTGCCCTTTTGGCTCTTCCGAGTTATGCCACTCTAAGCTTCCTATCTCACTCCCTGTTAAATTCAACATTGTATGTCTGTTCTGGGCTTCCTAAACCTCTCTCTCTCTCTTAAATTCAACACAAACAAAGTTAACAACATGGCAAACTTTGCTAAAGAATCAAACAGCACATAGGAAGAACCAACATTGCTAGTTGTTGGCAGTGGTATGCTTGAAGGTGGGAATGTTTGGTATCTAGATTTAGGAGCAAGAAATGAAGCGTGGAAGGACATGAATTATGGAGCTGCAGGAGAATTTCCGCGAACATGTTAGTTCTGAAGATGCTTCTAAGTTGCCAGGTGTTAGGAAAGGAAATGTGGCCATATATCAGAAAGATGCAACAACTGAATTCATCTCACATATGTATTACATGAGTAACATGAGAAACAACATTCTAGTCTTCGACAAGTACTTTAAAAAGGACATGAAATCCACATGGAACTAGAGTTAAGAAACGTTCAAAGGAGACTCACTGCTCAAGTGCAGATGACGGAACAAAATGTTTCCATTGCTTTTGAAAACAGTAGCTAGGCATTGCCTACCCAACAAGAGGGAGCATGAGATTGAAAAATTGCACCTACCTTATGGTCATCTTAATGGCCTGAAACTTCTGTACAAAAATGATAAGTTGAGAGGACTACCATAGTATGTGTACCACTTGTGTACTTACTGTTATTGAGATTGTATATGCAGAGAATTAGAGTTTGCATTTAAACCAACATCTAGTATCAGAGCTGGATAGTGTGTGTAACACCTGTGTACTTGGGAAGCAAGGACGTCAAGCTTTCCTCACTAGAAAGACATGGAGAGCAACAACACAATGGCAGCTCATACACACAAACATATGGGGACATTTTGAACCTAAGTCAATCGGAGGTCATGTGTACTTTGTTAAGTTCATTGGGGTTTACTTTCTTAGAGAAAAAATTGATGTGTTTGAAGTGTTTAAAAGGTTTAAAGCTTCTACTGAAAATGAGAGTGCTAGGAAGATTGTCACAATAAGATTAGATCGAGGTGGGGAGCATACCCCGGCTGCATTTCAATTTTTTTGCAGGGAACATGGGATTAGATACCAACTTACAGCTGCCTACACATTGAAGTAGAATAGGATATCATAATGAAAGAATTCTACGATCCTGGATATGACCAAAGAAAGAATGATGCCAGAGATGTTTTGGAGAGAAGCAGTAGCATGTGCAGTACACTTGTTGAACAAATGCCCCACCAAAAGTATTCTGCACAAAACACTTTATGAAGCATGGAGTGGAATCAAGTCAAGTGTAGCACATCCATGAAAATTTGGAATTGTTGACCATGCACAAGTACCCGAGGCCAGACGAATAAGACTAGATGATCGTGAAGTAAAGTGAGTGTTTGTAGGTTACAATGAAGATTCTGAAGCTTACAAGTTGTATGATCCTCTTTCAAAGAAGCTGTTTGTTAGTAGGGATGTTATTTTTATGAGGTAGATGCATGGAAGTGGGACAACAATGACAAAAATGTGGAGAAAATTGTACTAGAAGACAATAAGGCTGATCAACATCCAGGAGATGGGACAGCAGCAGCAGCAGCATCACCATGTCAATCAACACCACAACCAGCAATACAATCAAAGGAACAAGTGGAAACTGTCACTTCCCTTTCAAGCTCAACATCAACTCTACGAACAACGAATCTAGCATACCTATATGAAGCAACTAATGAGCTAGTCTATGATAAGAAATAGATTCAAGTCTGTTGTGTCTATATGCTGATCATGAGGCCCTAAGCTTCTAGGAGGCAAATGAAATGGAATGCTGGAAGATCACTAGGAAAGAAGAAATACAGGCTCTTGAAAAGAATGACATCTGGACAATGACTACACCCCCGCCTCAACACAAATCTATTGGTGTTAAGCGGGTTTACAAGATTAAGAGAACTGCGGATGACAATGTTCATCATTACAAGGACATGCTTGTGGAAAATGGGTACAGACAGAAATATAGGATTTACAATGATGAGCTGTTGGCTCCAGCGGTCAGATTTGGTATGGTGAGATTAATTATTTCAATGATCTCTTGCTGCGCAAAGAAACTTCTCTGCACAAACAATCTCAATGATATCTCTCTCTTGTTGTGCACTAACTTGCATAGTCCCATTTGTAGGGAGGTGAAAAGCTAAGTATTTGGATAATTATAAAGCTAAAAAAACCTGTTAATGCAAAGCAAACTAGCCTAGATAAAGCTACTCAGAAACAATTAGTCTAAATTCAATAAATCTTAGCAGAAACTAATTTGCAGAAGAATAGAACTCTAAAATAGATCTAGTTTGCTATTTCCAACAGGCAAAACATACTCTAAAAACTTCATTCATGATTATGATCAATAAAACAAGGGGTTTGGTATCTTTACCAGGAATCTATTTATCTTGGCATGATTATTTCAATTAATTACTAAAACAAGGTAGAAACATTGTAATGGAACAAGTACATTCAACAGTGATAAACATGCAAGCAATAACTATCCTAAATCAACATTACAAAAGCACAGGGCTCAGTAAGAATCAGGGAATTGGCATTTTCCAAAACACGTGCTTTTCATGTCTGGCTCCAGGAAATTAGAATAAGAATCTGCATTAAATGCTACATGCCAAATTTATGGAAAATATAAATAAGTTTTTCATTAGAAATAAGGAAACCAAATTGTGATGTGTTATGTCAGATACACAAGATCAACATGCTAGGCAACATTTAATCGCTCTTAAGCACTTGAAGCTTCACACTCCTAGAAGGGTTCAATTTGACATCCAACATACTTAACAAATTAACCAACTTTGAAAATAGAGCCAAAGTACCTCTTGACATCTTCCACTACAAAACCAAGCATCAGAAACCAGTCCTTCGTGTGTTTGTTTTCCTTCTTGGCATGCCCAATGATCTGTAAAAAATATAAACACCCCGTAAATTAGAGACTCAATATTATGGAATAGGGTAGCCGAAGGGGTACAAGTTCACATACCATTATGAAACGCTGTGAGAAATCAATTACCAACAAAGACGAAGATAAAATCCTAGTGATTAATAGGATAGAGAACCACAAACAATAGCTCACTGACAGGATTATTATGCCAAGCTCATTTAGCACCACCCTACTGAAGTTAAATAGCTCCTCACTCTATACATCAGGAAAATTACTGGAAAGATTGGTGTACAAGACTTATTTTTAGTGGAAAAAAAAATGCATTAATTTATGCTTGGATTTTCTAGAATAGAAGTTGAATCTCTTAGGAAGTTGGCAGTAGCAGTGTAGGGTTGAAAAAGATTAGATTTAGAACAAGTTATGATCCAGGAAATTAGTGTCTGTCATCACCTTGCAGTTCTAAAAAGTTTTCAACATTATTGTCTATGACAGTGAACAATATAAAAGTTTCCCCATTACACGAGAAACAAATCTAGTTCTATTTTAACATGTATGTCCATCAAAAATAATTTCAAACCACCATAATACTTAGAAATTACCCACTCCAAGAAGCATGAGCTTTAATTTCATGTACAATTCATACTTTAACATGTGCATCCTGAATCAATTTTCAAGCCATCCATGGACGTTGCAAGGAAGTTTAGATTCAATGAAAACAATCAAGCTAAACAAAATGGAGGTTGGAGATGTACATTTGTGCTCACACTGCAAACATTTATAAGCACCAACAGAACTCGAAGCCTCTTTATCATTGACCAGATCCCCACAAATCCAACAGGTGCAATTCGGGCAATACCAACTGCCTTCAGGAAGATCCTGAAGTAAAATAAATAAATTAAAAAAAAATGTTGATTTAGCTACTGTAGCTAGAACAAAAACAATCTTAACTCAGAGAGAAGTCATCATGCTCCTTGTGTGTAACTAGTCATATTGACATTCATAAAAACCAAACTGCACAATTAACATGGTCGTTCCACCACTTGCACGTTTTCCTCCATTCTACTTTGTTTCAGAACTAATTATCTGTGAACTCTTACAACAGTAAGGACATCAATTATTTGGAATCCAAACAGAAAAATAACCATAAATATTGCTATCAAAATGCTATTTATTTCCCAAAAGATTTGACAACCAAAATATTGAGACACTAATGGCCATGTCAGTGCATCTTAAACCACAACTTAGACCACTTATAATTGCTAAATAGTCTGCTTGAGACAAAAAAGAACAAAGAAAAAAGAAACAAATAATTATAAGAAATCTATGGGAAAAGAAAATGCACCATAAAACACAGCAGAAAAGCAAATGGCAAACCTCTGTACACAAGCAAGCTTGATGAAAAGTAGAGGGGCAATTATCACAGCATATCAACTCCCCACCATCACCGCACAGCCCACATGAATCATCATTCTTATCATCTTCATCTGCACGAACCACTTGGGTACCACTTTTCCTGCTCTTGTATTCAGCAGACCATGCTTGCAGCTGACATAAAGTAAAGGGCTTTCCAGATTCCATGAAAAGGTTTGAACATGGTCGGTTAAGCTTGAACCCAGCATGACTCTTAAACTTGGTAACCGAAAGCACCATATTGCAGCACTTACACATGATGCCATCCTTGGTAACCACACCATCTTTAATCACAAAATCGTCTTTTAGATTCCGGTACTGGACTACATCTTTTACAGACAAGACCCCAGCATCTATCAACCATGACAAAACCGTCCTAGATCCCATTCTTGACCACTTACCACCCACATAATGCTTTCCCAGTTTGCCCAGATTTCTTGGGAGTAGCCTGCAGCCGCCCTTTTTCTGTTTGCGCTTTGAGCCAGCTCTTAATATGCAGGATTTCTTTTTAGAAATAGATCTGGTGCCACCTGGGCTAAAATCTTTGTTCTTGATAATGGCTGCAATCAGCAAATCGTCATCATCAATTTGGCAGCCAGTTGTTTTCTTTTGTTTGTATTTGGGACCATAACTATTATCATGCGTACTCTTTAATTTTGTACCATTTTTCACCACCTGATGTAGGCAATTATCCAAAGGGGAGGACTTCATGCAGATCTTTTTAGTTCTTTTGATAAGCTTCTCTTCAACTTTGTTTGACTCTAATGGATTGCGAAGCACATCAATATTTTCACTTTGGCTTAATGTAGTTGATCTGATTTCTGATATTTTTCTGGACTTTCTACGTATCTTTTTCATAGCTGCTTTATCCCTTGTTTTGAACCTCGAAGCTTGAATGCACTGTAAACCCTCCTCTTCACTGAATCCTAAAACTCCTGAAGTCACAACTTGGGCAGAAGTTGGCTCATCATGGTGGATGGAGTCCATATGACCAGTGCCATCATCTGGATCAACTAAATTGCTGTCTTGATGAGGGGAAACAGATTCTGACGCCCCATGCACTATAATGTTCCCAGCAGTAACAGGAAAATCATTACATTGGCAACTACACAACTGGGCAGAAGTGCAATCTGTCCCACAAATTAGCCAGTCAGTCATATCCACACTGCCTATCCTGTCCTTACACATGCTGCAAGATTGATTTCCCATCCCATCAGAACACATGCCTTCTCTGTCATTCATATGTATAGATACATCTATCTGACCTTTCACCATTGATTCATGTCTGCATTCTGAGAAAATCCTGTTGCCAGATTGTACATCACAGTCATGGCAGCTTCCTTCACATATTGTTGATGCACTTTTAGTGACCGGACAAGAATCACTATGCCAAGCCAACAAATTTTTCTGAGCAGACTCCTTTCCAATGCCATTTTCACGTTTCACATTTCTATCATTTACTAAGCTTTGTGCAGCTTTAACCATACATCCCTTTCTCAGTACACCAACCTTCCGATCAATGAACACAACATTAACAAAGGGATCTAAAATACTCCACCGATGTGCCAAGTCTTTGGCAAGATCTGATTTATCCATGTCTTTCTCAATAGCAGTCAATGTATCTGAGAGATCAGACCAAAAGTGACTTATATCAGCCCATTCCTTACCATTGCCTTCCTGCACCACCTTGTATCCGTTTGCAAACAAAATTTGACCACACAGCCTCCACACTTTAGGGAAATCACGAATTAATCTCCCCTCAGGTGATTGATAAATAGACTCCATATATTTTCGACTGGGTCTCTTGCGCTTTCCAATACACCAACCCAAAGCTGAAAGTAAGCGGGTGATATGACTTTGGAGGAAAGGACGAGGATCCATCTTAGAATCTGTCTTCGAGATAATGGAGACATCCAATCCTGGCGAATTGAATGCCTTCGCTCTTTCCTCTGCATTTAAAGGGGATCCAGGTTTCCCAACAACATCTACAGGTCTTGCAAGCAATATCCTTGTTGCATAGCTCTCTTGGGAAACAGGTGAAGCAGTAACTTTGCCAGCAACACCATCTGAGTTTGGCAAACTGCACTTCAGAACATCTGGCTCACGTGCATCACCTTTTCTGTCTATTTTTGCATGTTGCTTTAACAGATAGCTGGTGGATACAACACCCTGTGAGGATGATTCAACTAAATGTAATAGTACTGTTTGGCTCAGTGAATCCATATCTGCAGCAGCTGTACCACTAACAATCTCTTTAGGCAGTAAGGACGAAGTCAGAACTTTCAATGTATCAGGTTCAGTGTCCAAAGGTTCATCAACTGCAAACTTCATTCGCTTGACAGTCTTATTCTGGCTAGTGCCCTCCACAAAGGTAAATCTTTCTGTAAAACAGCCTGAAGCAGTAGCCCCTATAGAATTCTCATTCACATCAGAATCCTCGATTGACAAACTTATAGGAGAAGAAAGAGTAGTGACAGCTGAGTATTCATTGTTAGTATGCAGTGAAGGATCTGCAATCTTGCAGTCCTGGCTCTTTAAATTAATAACTCCAGCACCAATACTCCTCTTACCTGTCCCACCAGTATCTTTGCCAAAGAAAATATCTGCAAAAATACAGCGCTCTTGATGTGACCCCTCAAAGCCATCATCCCGAAAATCATCAATTGCTGAACTGGTCATCACTAGAGCCTCACCAAACTTCTAGATTCTCCAAACTTTTCCACGCAAATGCTCTCAAGCCAAATGCAACCATCCATTAAAATTTAAAAGATACATAAACTGGTGAGAAACAACAAAAACAAAAGGAGCAAACAACCAGTATTAGTGACTGAACAATTATGCACTCCTATTAGCAGGAAACTAGTAGTAAAAAACAATGTGTATGGTAAAACTCTACATTAAGGAGGTATAACATAACAAGTAAAAAACAAAAGAAAAGCAGATGCATATAAGGTAATGACATATTGAACTTCTAATGCAGTTCGCATCCGCTCAGCAATCCTACAATGCGTATGGATGAACAAATTCCACAGAATTCCCCTCAAAAGTAGTAAAACCTTGCATTACATGCAACTCAAGGAAATCCAAAATCCATTGCAAAGAAATAATTTCCACTCCAATTGCAGTAGGAAAAAATTTGTGGCGTGATGGGATATTTATGGATTTGCATGGCAAGAGTATATTACCGATGGAGGGAGCACCTAAAACAGATCATTTTAACCGATCCTAAGTTTAAAAGGAAATATAAAGAAATAATCAGTTAACCAAATGCATTTAATAATTTCCATGCAGAAAAATTGTCACTGATATAACAGAAAAAACCAAGATGAAAATCCCAAAAATTAATTATTTCAACTGCCCTGGTTGTTAAGGAATCATTTTTCAGCTGGCTCATGAGGAGTTAGACCATGAAAAGATAAAGCCACTCCTTTGTCCATACCACCACCCAATAGACCAAACCCACAAGTAAATGCAAATTAAGAAAAAAAAAAATCAAGCAAGACAAAGGAGGATTCAAGTTTGGCTATCCAAGCTGCCATTTCCAATTCAAAGAAAAGTGAAGACAGCATTCGCAGATAAATCAAATGGAAATGCTAAAGCTAATCCCGCTCTATGTACCTCCATCTGCCCGTGTCAAAGATCTTTTTTTTAAAAAAAAAAAAAAAAAAGAGGTCTCCTGAGGATTTTAATGCACTTATGACCTCAAAGGTCATTTACAAAATCCAATGCAAGAGAATTGGATACCCATAATTCACCATGTGCCATACTCTTTTGTTTCATTAACATAGGACATCAATTAGCAATACTTCCTCCATTCAGTTCTGTTAAGGGCTAAGTTTTTTGTAAGTTTTCATGATTCTAGATTATTTTTTACCACTTAAAACAAGTCATATTACCCTCCAACCTAAATGCCATTTATCAATGTTACTTTAATTAGAGAAGCAAGATCAATAGATGGACAGGAAGATAGATATATTGATAATAGAGAAGGAGTGATAAGAGAAAAAAAGCCTCAAAGTAGATATAACTATCTTTCTGTTGATAAGTTAGGAAAGTTAAGAACCTTGATATATTTTATGCCTCCCCCAAGAGACAGTTGACCAAGCAAACAACATCTAATTCCATAAGTCAACAACTCCTTCCATCTGTATGAACATCATAAATCAGTAACAGCATCATCAACATATATTAAAGTATTTTTCTATTTGCTAGATGGCAACACAGCATCGATTAAAAGCCTAGAGAATGCATAAGGTTCTCCGCTATTTAGCTGAAAACATGATATAGATATAGCAATTCTTAGTCCCCAGTACGTGAATAACAAACATGTCAAAATGCAAGCTGACATGAGCAACTGCAACTGTTGTGAGCATGAAGTTTTTCACCCAATGAAATCATTACAGCCCATTTCATAATAAATTGCAACACATCAACATCTAAAAAACTGCTAGATGTTATCAGCATGCTTAAAACCATGGAAAGCTTCTATGTAAACTAGTAGAATCTTTGAATAGGTAGTTTTACCGTGCAGTTGGATTTTTGCTTGAAAGTTTGTGTGCATCTATTCATAACAGCAACTTTAGAGAGGAATAAATATCAAAATTCACACATTGAAAGAATATTATTTGTGCATGTTTACCATAAAAAAGCTAGTAAAAAATGACAAGCTACTTAATCATCTAAAGAACAATAGATGTGATTATTTACAGGCTTGTTTAGGAAATATTATGTGCACAAAAATTTCAGTAGAATGCTGATCATTCCAATTTGGCACTCTCAAAACTCTTGTAGTCTCGTGTAATATTTAATTCTAAATTTTCCTAAGACTAGTGGAAAAAGAAAAGCTGGGGCAACATTACAAAATGTCATCCAAGCTTGAACTTAATTGCTAAACCATGGACTCAAATAACAACCATCACAGGATGGAACTGAAATCCAACGCCAAATGGAAGTAATTTTATACTCACAATTGTTACAAATCACATCAGCCGTTACCATGCTAGTAACAAATTCGGTGACTATTGCAAATGTTACATTTACAATCAATCATGTTGTGGTGTGGTGTCAAACCATTACCTCAGAAAAAACCTGAATTGTTTAGTTACATTTTTCCTTTCATGTTATAACTGAAGTCAGAAGTGCTTTACTAAAATGAATTAGTTTATCTTGTATGTGTTACAATTAATATTTTGTAGTCAGATTTTAGATTTGCGTAGAAGCACATTTAAGAAGGTTTTTGAATTAATTTTTTTTGGTAGTTCTTTTGCGTTAATATTTAGATGTAAATGCTAGATTTTGGCTTAATCCTTTTCATCAATGCATGTGTTAGGAATTGGCTTATGCAATTTGAAGCTAAATTGTTAATCTTGATCATGTGATTAGGCAAGACAAGTACTTTCATGATAATATGCTATTCATTTAAAGTTTTCAGACCATAATATAAACACATGGATAAATGCAAAAATTGATAAAGAGGGAAAACTAGCACATGAACCGACAAAAGATGACCTCAACAAAGGCAGCACAAAATTTATGGAAAGAACATAACAAAAAAAGGAAACAGATAAAATCCCATACTTCTGTCTTACATATCTGTATGTAACTCAAATACGCATGAAAAGATCAACCAGAAAATATGGAAAAAATTAAGTTTGAAGATTAGGCATCACCCTAAGAAGAAGAAAATGACAAAATCTCAACAATAACTACCAAATTTGGTGGAAATGCTGTACCTGTTTTTCTCAAGAACCTTTATTTTAAATTCCCTATCTACACTTTTTCATCACTCTCTTGCCCTATTTCCTAGAGAATTATAAATCTTACTAATCACATACTGAATAAAATCTTCAAAAAGGCTTGTTACCCACCATCTCCATTCAACATTCATGGTTCATCGGAAAGGAAAAAACCATGTCATATACCAAGTTCATGGGAACCTACAATTGTGAAAAAATCTGCATTAAAACAAAAGGACAATTTAGACAAATACGGAGATGCATCTTAACACCCAGTAAATCACAGTTCAACATACAATGATAGAACAATAGAAAAATCTGCATTTAAAAGAGGAAATCAATTTAACAAAAATAAAATAAATGGCACATTGAAAAGATAAGATAACAATTAAAGAAAACTGCTAGGCTTGCCCGAATTTATAATCTAGTGTCTTTCCTAGTAAACCAGACAACAATCAATATTTATATCACTAGGCAAACATGAATAACACAAGGAACTAAATCGTGTCTGAAAAAGGAAAACGGCCAATGCCCAATTTTGGTCCAAGAGAATATCTACGATGGAGCTTTTGGAAATAGCTCCACCCCTCAGTATTTTTGTATGCAGAGACTGCACTTAAGACTCAAACTTACATGATGTGGTTATAAGCCCAAATACTGTTGCACCAAAAAATGACCTCTAAACTGAAGAAAGACTAGGCATCCTAAAGTTCCAAAAGTATCAACGCAAGAGATTATAACTGTTAGAGAATAATATAAATCATATCCCGGGACCTCACCTAAGAGCTTAAGCTATTGGGTTAAGATAGTTCTTTGACATGATATCAGAGCCTTGATAATCAAGCGGTCACGAGTTCGAATCTCACCATCCCTATTTATTTGATAAAAATTAAGCACAAGATAATGTGAGTCTGTATAAGTTTCGAGCCCAAAAAACTTTCACTTGAGAGGGAGTGTTAGAGAATAATATAAATCATATATTGAGACCTCACCTCAGAGTTTAAGCTATTGGGTTGAAATGGTTCTTTGACAAAAACTATTAAAAGTCTAAATCCAGATAATGAAGAATCTATCATCTACAAATCCCCAAGCATTTCAAATTTCACAAAAATCCCATAGAAAGAAGATTGGGCTTAGGTCTCAACTCAAACCATAATATCACGTGGGATCTCAATCTTACATACAATTCCAATCAATTTGAACCATAAAGGTTTGTGCATTTTTCCCATTACATTTTTATGTCACATGAGGCTTAAGGCTAAAAAGGCTTCATAAGTTAAAATTATGTCCAACAAATATAATTATTTCTCCATGGAAATTAATAGGGAAAACCCCACAGTTGAGCTTGACAGCATCATTTCTTATCTTATAAGCATGCACATAAATAATCTACCCTTTAACAGATGAATCTACTCCAAAAGGGAAAACTTTTCATTTCTGATCATGTTCATTGATGTATTAATTTGAGTAATGCTGAAGGAAAATAAGAAGGACAAAACCAAGAAGTGATAAGATTTAAAAAGATATCATATCAATTTGGAATGAGGGTTTGTTCAGTAGAGAATATTTCACTTGAAAAAGAGAACATATTAGGACATCATAAAGTGTTACACCTCATTAGCTTCATTAATATGATGTTAATAGCTTCCCATTTCTATATTCATAGAAGCTGTACCATTTCATTTTCAGTTCATATGTCATTATATTATAATACATATCCATCCATCAAGTTAGCATCTCTATGCTTTCTTCAAGCATTAGAAAACAAACAAGCATCAAAATGGGACTTGAAATTTAATTATTCTAATAAAAAAAGATCTACATGCTTAAGGAATATTTATGTTCTTTCCTCACAATCAAATTCAGCATACAAGAGCTATAGTAAGAGCATTTGATGTGAAGTTACAAGCCTTGTTCAGAAAGGCCTATCATGATACATAAATAGAAAAACAAATGTTTTGATGTCTAATTAGCATGTGTGGAGAGAGAGAGAGAGAGAGAGGGACTGGCTTGGCAAATGCATGTTGGCAACCAATAAAAGAAACTATGATGAACTGAATAATACCCCATATTCTTTCTATTTTGGAATAAATAACAAATGAATAAGATGCCCAAAATTCTTGGATTTAACAATCCTATTACAGAAAATGAGACTTATTATTGCATCTCCTGTTATGCCTTCAAGTTCTTTATGTGACTGCATGCTTGAGGCAAATCGATGAGAATTGGATATGGCATGGGCCTTAGTGTTTTATTCATCATAAAGTTGGTGTATCTTCGCAATCCAACATAGAAATCCCTTGATCCAAAAAACAACTGACATGACACAAGAACATAAGGGGAAAAAAGGAAATTCAGCATATCAAAGGATTATTATAATCTATAATTCCAACTACCCAACTACTACTTGAAATCATGCGGAGATATAGCAACCCAAAAAATTACACTAAATCAGCAAGTTCTCTAGTAGTCACATGATCATATTTATATTCCACAAATCACACGGTGATATAGCAACCCAAAAAATTACACTAAATGAGCAAGTTCTCCAGTAGTCACATAATCATATTTATATTCCACACACCTAAACAAAATAAACGGAAGAGACCTTTCCGCCATAGCTTACGCCCTCATTCCATGCTTTCGGATGGTTCAGATCATCAAGATACTTGTTGGAAAAAAATGAAGGAACCTTTGCAGGGCAACAAAAGCTACAGTTTTAGCTTCAACACTGGTATAATTGAGTAATCCAACTTATATAACAGTAGGCCAGCCCTTGGAAAATGAAACAGTGCTACCAACTGCTCCAGGAGACAATAATTATACCTGTAGACTGCATGTAGTATACTACCCTCTACCTTACCCTGCTACCCTCTTCTTATATGCCACATCATACTAACTAGTTGAATTCTCTCTTTTTGTATACTGAATTAAAATGGGAAAACAACAATCTGTCGAAGGTGATTTAGATGAAACCTTGATAAACTCCAATGGTTTCTTTCTTTTATAAATAATGCAAAAGTATGTTAGCTCCAGTGCCAAAAGAGGGCACCTCTTCCCTTACACTACAAGTATCCCAAGGAAGACAAAAACTATCAAGCTAATTTACAACTATTTACAATTTACTTAGCTAAAGCTCACAGATAAGAGAGAGAGAGAGAGAGAGAGAGAGAGAGAGAGAGAGAAGGATCAAGTATTATTTCTATCCCACCAATGCAAAACCTTCAACCTGCATAAGGAAGCATCCTCCCACACTCCCTCCAAATCAACCAAAATGATCAACAATGTCAACATTTCCTTTTCTCTCTGTGTAAGACACTTCTGGTAGCAGAACATGAAAACTTTCATCCATGTTCAAGTGTAGAGTAATGGAAAGGAACCATTCTACTTATGCCACAACAATATATAAAGACGGATAATAAGTGTCAGACTCGCAACTAAATGGATTCTTCTAAGAAAAGTTTCAGGGCGTGCATTAAGTATTGAGCTCTCAACTCTGCCTTCCAAGACCTTAAAAACTCCAATAAAAGGCAAAAATCTGCCATGCAAAAAACAGCAGCTACTCTTGATTTGTGCCTCGAAAATACCAGTAAATCATATTGAATTCTCATAACAGAAAAGCACTAGAACTGATATCCACAATCTAAGATGTCATCTGGAGATCTCATTATAAAGGCACTAGAATTTTACACATCTTATGATAAGCAATGAGAGAAAGAAGGAAGTGCCGCAGATATAGCATAAAACCCCCGAGCATTGAATCAAAAGGGGATAAAACAGCACAAAAAAGAAAAACAAATTAGAGAAGGGAACCCATCAACTTATATCCAGAATTCACAAATCTGAAAACTCAGATAAGCACAAATAGCCAAAAGCCAGAATCCAAAAGACCCAAAATTTACACAGATCACCAAACACCAAATCAATTACCTCCAAAACCCACATTCAAATTCCCACATTTCAATCAAATAGTTCAAAAACATATTAAAAAAGCGTAAGAAAAAATGACCTTACCTCAACAATGCAACTTGGGATCAAAATGCAAAGAGGAGCAAAGCAGAGAAATTTGATTGAAATAAGGGAAGAGAAGTTGAAGATGATAATGGGTCTTCTTCAAAAGTGAGATTGACATTAAAGACAGAATATTTAAACCACGGAGTGAGCAATAAAAAATGGTTTTACTTTTAACCACATCAAGTTTCAAAACTGGCTAAAGAGAAAGAGAGAAAAGGGTATCTATGGCTTTAGAGAACCCACAGTGCTGCTCTCTTCTACAATAGATGCATCTCTCTCTCTCTCTTTCCTTCTTCCTCTCCTTTTCTCTCTACAACTACCATGTGCATGTATGTCATGTGTACACAACACCCTCTCTTATACTGTCTCTCTCTCTCTCTATTTTTTTTTTTTTTTGTCTGTTTTGAGTTTTCTTTTTTTAAAAAATATTTAAACTGGAGATTCATTAATCTAAATTAACTAGAATTTAATTTGAAATAAATCAATAAAAAAAAATTTAATATATTTCTACTAAGAAAAACCTTGCTTGGGATTCATTTTTAAGAAAATTGTTCAATATTAGATACAATCACATTAATCTCACCACTCAAGCTTTAAATTAAATCAACTTTTAAGTTGGATGCTATATTCTTTCACCATATTTTTACCATCAAAATTAATAAAAATATATTAATTAATTATGTTAATATTCTATATATTCAAAATAATCTTTATCAAAAAATTAGAATATAAATTTTGAATTTGTTTTCAAAATTCGCCGCATGTAGAATAATTTATATGTATAATTTATCAGAATTAAATATTAAATTTTAATTTATTGAATCTCAACTAGAATCTCAAATATTCTTTCTTTTATTCTAGATTTTAAAAATATAAAATTTAAACTTGGTTATGTGCAAATTATTCTTATGAGTTTTGATAATGAGAATCTAACAAAATAATAAATGGGAGAAACAATAACTTATTAAGATTAAATTAGATACAATTAAATATATATAATACCATATCGGGCACGGTCTCTCTGAAATATAATAGCATTTAGAGTCCTTTCCCCATTTTTAGCAAAAGGTTGTAGGTGCCATAGCTGCTTATCACTTTAGTCATGGATTAGAGTTTTAGATTTATATTTCCATTTATATTTCTTTTCCATCTAAAGTTGGTAATTATGCATTTGTTCAATATGTTAACAAGTAATATTTATATTGAATCATTAAAAGGTAATTAAGTAAAGTGAATTAGGAGGGACAGCCATAAACTTCAAACAAGACTAGCCTTATCTTTAAAAAAAATACAACAATATCCAAATAAAATATATACATATATATATATATAAACACACGCATCTTTGTAGTTTTTAATTTGATTTTTTTTATCCATTAATAAATGTTATTTTACAAGTCTTGTTTGGGTTGTGAAAACTTAGTATGATATATACAAATCAGTCTAAGATACCTTATATATAAAAGAAAATAATATTTATATTGAAGAAAAAAAGAAAAAGAGCATATTGAAAAATAGTTGATTAATTTTGGAGGGAAAAGGTCTTTAAAATGATTTCTTTGAATCTTGTTCTTGTCTACAAGATTTAGAGAGAGAGGAAAAAGAAATGTCACGATGAAAGAGGAATCGCAAGGAGAAAGCAGTTCCAATTTCCAATGATAACTTAGAATATATTTTTTTTTATTGTAAATATGCGGCCACGTGGAAGTGATAATGACAATGAACAAAGGATCCATTGCAAGTATGAAAAGTACGGTTTTTCTTTGAGAGAAGCAAAAACTTGAATTTATTAACAGTAAAACTACTTGAACTAGAATGTATTTAATAAATATTTATTTGACAACAAAAAATAATTTGTAAGCAAGAAACTTGAGATCTTGGGTTCAACTATAAACATAATAAACTTTTTTAGTTCTCTATGATAAGGATAATTTGAATTAATTTCTGCTTACAAAACTAAATCCTTACCTCATTGAAATCATCATCATTATTATTATTATGAAAATAAAATGGTGTTTTTTATGTACAAATGATAAAATTGTAAATTTTGGTTTTTCAAAAAAACAAAATTTCCTTTTTTTTTTTGCTCTTTATACTTAAATTTTTTATCATTTTATACTTAGCCTATTTATCATCATTTGTTTTCTTATCTTTATTTTTTTAATATTATTTTAATTTCTTTTTTTCCTTTACATTTTTTTAGAAAAGAACTATTATTTTTTTATTCTTTACACTATGAATAACTATCACTCTATATTTTACCTAGTTATATCATTTTTTTGGTTCTTACCATTATTCTTTTGTAATTTTTTTTAAAAACAATTCTTTACACTTTTTTTAAAAAATTATTACAAAACAATTATGGAAATAAAGTTTCATGGTAGCAATTTGGTAGCAATTGCAACATTATTTCATTATTCTGCTATGTAAAATATTAACTTGAGATTTTACATATTTTTATTAACATATATGATATTTACTATATTTGATTATATATAAGCATTGAATTTTGATTTACAGTTATATTTGTTACTTGATCTTAAAAAATATGTTAATAATATCTATATATTAATTTTTTTTAATAAGAAAAAAAATTCAAATTGCAACAAGCAAGTTGAATAAACCCGTTAATACTTTGTTTTTTTTGCATTTGTTAGCACAAAATGATTCTCAATGTATTTAATTAAATACATGCATAAGCATTTTGATTTATAATTAATTTTTATAAGAAAAAACCACATTCAAAAAAATTGTATATTTATTTGTGTTTTGTCAAAAAATTATCTAACCCACGGTAACGTGCTAGTCACATAACTAGTCCTTGATGCACTCATTCAAAAACAATTTATTACATCATAGACTAGCATACTAAAATAATTTTTAATTAATACTTTTTATTTGAAATAATTTATAAAATTAGAATTGTTTTTCAATTTCACTCACATGGATTTTTTTTTAATGTTAAATTTGGTATCTATTCTTTTAATTACTATATATTTTATTTGAAATGTTTTTTATTTTTATTTTCAATTTCATCTTCTTTTATTTTTTTTCCTATTAAATTTGGTCCTCATTTTTTATTACTATTTTTTTACCTTGAAAATGTTTTGGTTTATTATTATTTTTTTACAATTTTATCCTTCTAAATTCAATTTATTGGGTGTGAAGCTTCTTAATTTGGCTCAGGTCTAGAATTTAATGGATTGTGAGTTTAAGATATTCGAGTTTAAAAGGTTTGCCTAAGTTTACTTATTTTTTTAATCTCTGTTTCTTATTTCATTCTCTAATATTTTTTTTTCCGCTTTTTATGAGAGTTTTTGTCTTTTTGAGAATAGAATGGATTGCTTTGAGTTTTTTTTTCCAATCTTTTTATAGATCTAGATTTTTTAAAAAGAATTTTTATTAGATTAAATTAATTTTTTCATCCTTTAACATTAAATTGATCTGATATTGCCATTGGTTTTTCCATGTCTTCGTTAAATTTTGCTTTTTTAAAAGGGATTTTGTTTTTAATTAAATTTATTTATTTCATCCTTCAACATCAAGTTGGTCGGATATTGAGATTCTTGGTTAAGATCAGGTATTAATTTAACGGGTTACAAGTTTCAGAAATTAACCTAAATTTAGAAGGTTCAAACTTCAACCAGATTTACTTGGATTTTTTTTTTTTGAGCTTATGTTTTTCTCAATCTCATCCTTAAATATTTTCTATTTTTTTCACTTTTTATGAGATTTTCCATTCATTCCAAAAAAACACACAAGTTACCCTAGGCTTTTTTTATATATTTGTTGAATTTAGCTTTTTTCATAAGAATTTTTATTTTTTAATTAAATTAAATTAATTGATTAAACATAAACATGAGATTTACTTTATGATATTTTTTATCATGCTTTCTGAGTCATTTTTCTAATAACACAAATGATCTTTTTCAATTAGCTTAATCTTAGATTTTTCTTACTTCTTTGAAAATGTTGATGTAACATGAATATTTGTTTTGTGAAAAAATGGACACGGCCCGCAGCATAGCGCAGACCATCTAGTTAGTTAATGATGTAACCATATTATTCGATAGTTTCACCCATATTTACCTAATATTTTGTCCATGTTTTATATGTAAAATGCCTTGATATTCTTTGTTTTATGTTTTGAAAGCACTTTTGGATGAAAAATGCAAAAGGAGTAAATTGGAGATAATTGACAGATTTGACGTTTAGTCGATGTTTTGTGCAGAGCGTGAGTTCTAGAGATCAAAATGAAGTGATTCCAGTGACACTAAAAAGATAACATCCATACCTTTTTGGAAATGTAATGCAA